CCCAGGAATTTGGACATGTTGTATTTTTGTTATCAGTAAGTTCACAACACTCTGTAATCACAATTTGATTCCTTTATCTGCCCCTGAGTTTAGAAGTGTTTACTTCCCACACCTTTGGGGACTTCCCACATCTTTCTGTTACTGATTATTAATTTAAATCCATTGTTGTCGAAGAATATCGTCTGGATGTTTGGGGTCCTTTTGATTTGGTTGAGGCTTGTCTTGAGGCCCAGAGGAGGCTGGGCGTGCCCTGGGTGCTTGTTCCCAGGCACAGGACGAGGTCGAGGCTGCTGGTCGCCTGCTGTTACCGACTTCTTGTCACTGAGGTGTTGGGATCAGTCCCCTCAGCCTTTGGTACCTTGGAAAGGCTGCTGTCACTCAGCTCTTGATTGTTGACCCCATTGTCATTGTGAAATGCTGCTCTAGGCCCTTTCTTCCCGGTGAAGCTGCTTGGCTTGTGTTGATGCCACCCAGCCTCCTTCCCCGGGGCCGGGAGGGGTAGCTTCCACCCCTGCGCTCTGACCTCGTGGGTCTTGAGGCCTAGGTAGTTTCCCCCAGGGTTTCCATGGTGTCAAGGGACCTCCCTCGAAATATTTATAACTCCAAAGGGAAAGTGTCACTTCTCAGTGGGAAAACGCTATGTCTATGTGACAAGGATGGGGTCGTCAGTGACCAGGCGGGTTGACGCAGGGACCCTCCATGGAAGGCACTGCCAAGGGTGCAGCCTTGCCCTGTGGCACCCGTCCTGTGTCCCTCATTCCAGCCCAAAGCAGGCATCATATGCACCAGACCGTGGGACAGTGCCCAGAGGCCTGGTCCTTCAAAAGCAAAGTGGCCACTGAAGGCAGGAGACCAAGTGGCCGTTTCAGACTGGGAAGGCTGTGGGGATACCAGCTCAGGGCCATGCAGGTGCTGGAACTGACAAAGGACGCTACTGGGAAATGGGCAGGACCGAGTGCAGCCCGCAGTCCGGCTGTCGCCCGGGCAGTGTCCGGGCCCGGGCACCTTGCACTCCGAGGGGTGAGTGCTCACGGGCCTGTCTCCTTACGGTTCTTTCCTGCTTGTCTCACCTGACCTCTGTCCTGTGTCCTTTCCCCCTTTGATTGGACAGGTCTTTCTTGGGTACATAATCTGAATGTCCCCCCCAGGTTCCACTCAGCCTGAGGGTGATACTGGTGGAGGGAGTGGAACCTTCTGGAGCCGGCCTAGTGCAGGTCTGGAGGTCTTTGGAGGCGTGTCTGTGTGGGGACTGAGGGAAGCCCTTCGCGCTCCCTGCCACTGGTGCCTCCCGTGAAGCCAGGCCGAGGGCCCCTCACCAAGCCTGCGCCTCCCTGGACTCTGAAGCTCCAACGCTGCGAGCCCAGAGAGCCGTTTCTCTGTGGCATGAGTGGCCTCGGGGACATCGTGCCGTGCGGAAGCTGATACACTGTTCTGCACCCTTCCACCTCCCCCTCTGCCTCCTGCGCATGTGACCTCGGTGGCTGCTGTGCGATTCAGGGCGCAGCAGAGGCCTGCCAGTCCTCCCTCAAGTCTTGCCAGAGCACTGCTGCCTGTCACATCGCCACCCACCTGTTTGCCGTTGTCACATGCTTTACTTCCACATTGTGACCAGCCTGCGGTACGTTGTTTTTACTTTTTTTTTTTTTTTTAATATTTTTTAGTTGTCAAGGGACCTTTATTTTATTTATCTCCATGCGGTGCTGAGGATCGAAGCCAGTGCCTCACACATGCCAGGCGAGTGCTCCACCACTGAGCCCCAGCCCCGGCCCCATTGTTATTACTTTTAAAGAGACTAAAAGTATCCAAGCTGTGAAGCTGACGTGTCAGATTTTGGAGACGTGGGGTGAGCCAATATCATGGAATACTTTTAATATTTAAATTCAGCAAGTTAATGCAGTCACCTCCCAGCCCCGCAAGGCAGAGCCGGGTGAATCCACAGACATCACGGCGCGTCAGAGGCGCCAGACACACACAGCACACTCCGTGTGACCCCATCTGGGAAGTCCTAGGACCCCTGCCTGGGGAGGCGGGTGGCAGGGAGCTAGAGTCTTGACCAGGATGCGATTGGTCAACACCCGCTGCTCACACTCAGTTCCTGGTGTGCAGGACCGTGGTGGTCAGGTGCTGAGTACTTTCACCAGGACAAACCATGGTGGGCTGGTGGGCGCGGTGGCTGGGGAGTTGGGCAGGGCAGGTGCACATTCTAGGGGAACCCTTCCCTCTGCGTCCTCCTGCCTCCGTGTGACGGCATCCAGGCCCCCAAAGACCCTGTGGAGGCCTGTGCGTTCAGGACAGCAGAAATCCTCTAATGAGATCCTGGCCACATGGTCTGGCCGCTGGAACCTCCCTCGTGATTGTAAGTGGGCTCAGGGCTGACGATCTGCCCACTCTCTGCCCGGAATCCAGGCCTTGTGGTCTCGGGGACGAAACGCAGCACCAGTTAATTGCTGTCCGCATCAGCAGGCGCAGGCTGAATGCCTCTCCCCCGGGGTCAGTGCCGGAGCCGGGCTGCGGCGTCCAGAAGGGCTGCGATGGAGTCGGACAGCTGAATTAGACTCCATGAGGCCAGCACTGCCCTCCCACAGAGTGGCCTTGCATGGCCCCTTCCCAGGCCGCGGCCCTGCTGCCCGTGGGCTCCCTGCAGTTGCCCCTCCCCGGCTGCCGCTCCTTCCTCGCAGGGCCTGCGCAGCAAGCCCTCTGCGCCCAGCCCCTCGGCGCCCCGCAGAGCTGCCAGCAGAAGAGGCCGGGTCCTCCCGTTTGTTTCCTCTCAGCGACGCTCTTCTCCAATACCTAGGGAGGCCCCGGGGACCTCTGGCCCCTCCTGTCTCGGTGTTGCTCAGGTTTGTCTGCTATGCACAGAGAAAACCTTGGGGGTTTCCAAATTCACCTACAAGGAGACAAAAAAGCACCACCGCGTAGAGGAAAGCCGGGCCCTCCCGCGAGGCAGCGCTGCCTGGGCCTCTGGGCTCTGCCCCTCGCCTCCCACTGAGCGCGTCCCCACTTCCGTGTGTCTCCTGTGCCCGGCTACTCGGCCTCCTGACTGCGTCCTCTCCAACACCGTGGCAGCTTCTCCAGAGAGAGCCGCCCACTCTGCTCCCTCAAGGCCAGTTCTGTTTTCTGACTTGGATGCTTCTTTTGGTTAATCTTGGTTCTCTTCAAATACCTTATGGTTCTAGATCGCCAGTGACTCAGTTAGAATTGGTTGGCTGTGTGTTTAACTGATTTTAGGTTAAAATCAGTAGCTTTAACACAGCCATGTTTTCCTTCCCAGAGGTAAGACTCAAGAGGGCCCTGTGACCATCCCTTGATGTCCCTCTTGCCTCCCCCTTCACCACACCAGGCATGTTGCTCATCTTTGTGGCTTCACATGGCTGCTGGGGCTCCAGCCATCTGGTCTGCATTCAGTCAGCTTCTTCCTGCCCTCTCATCCGCCCTCCCCCAGATTCAGCTTGCTGTGAGTTCTGCCCTGGAAGAAACTGACCCTACTCGTGACACTCTCACTTCCCTTGATGCCACACAGTACCCTGGGTGCTACTCACTGCCCACAACAGGCTTGTCCACATCTGCCTGTCTCCTGTTCACTATCTGCTCTGTCCTTCAAGTCCCAAGCCTCATGCCACCTCATCCCGGGAGCCTCCTTGATTACTACACCCAAATGCCCTTTCATCTCCCAGCGCTGACCCTGCTCTGACCCTGCTCTCAGCTGGCCGACTGCTGTGGGTGTACTTCTCTGTTCCCCTTCCTGGACCCAGGGAGACACAGCATTCAGCTGCTCCTCACTGAGAATGAGTGAATGATCAGACTCAGGCCCGGCCGTCAAGGACCTGCCGCCGTCAGGAACACCACGTCCCCGTGCGGCTCTGCGGCAGCTCACCTGGGTGCCCGGGGCAGCCCAGCAGAGAAGGACGGGCTCCAGGCTTGGCTCCTCCAGCTGCTGCCGAGAGGCCCAAGCCCCTGCCCCAGCAGGACCAGCTTCCTTGTCCAGGGGGGCTGCTGGCACACAGTGGGGCAGAGCAAGGCCTGAGGTGGGCTCAGTCCTGCGGCCCAACCCAGCGCCCCGCCCACAGTCCCGCCCAGCGCCCAGCCTGGTCCAGAGCTGCGTCTGCAGGAGCGCAGGGTTGCCAGGGTGGACAGGGCGGGCGGCGGGCGGCAGCCTCCAGCTGTGCGTTTAAAACCATTGCCTGGTAGTGGAGTGGGCAGAGTGGGCGTCTCTTGTCACCACCCTCTGGCTGAACTCCCGGCACGGCCCCTGCCGGTCCCTGGCTGCCTCCGCCAGCACGGATGTCTCTAGGCCCCACGGACTGGAGGGGTGGCTGCCCCTGGCCAGCAGGAGCCAGAGCGCAGGGTGCCCGGCACCCAGCAATGGCAGGGCTCAGACCCAGCAGCGTGACGAGGGGGGGCGCTGAGCAGGCCCATCCCACTGGCACACGAGGACCCTGGAGCAGGGGACACGGGGACAAGCTGGGGACCAAGGCACAGGCCTGTCTCAGATGCTGCTCAGAGCCCTGGGCTGATGGCAGACAAGTCCCCAGGCCTGTGCTGCCCCTGACCCGGGAGGCAGGCCTGGAGGTGGAGTGCGTCAGAGCCTGTGACGGGTGTGACAGGCGGGGATCCGCTGTGGCTCTGGGAGTGGGGATGGGAGGACGTGGCTGGAAAGTTCCGCCCAGGTGGAAGACAGAGGCCTGGCCCAGGGCCACCTGCGGGCAGGTGGGGTGACCAGGCCAGACCTGGGCTCTGAAGCCAGGGCGGGCGCTGCCCAGAGACCCTGCCTGGGTCAGCCCCTGCAGGGGCCTGGGCTCCATACGAGGGGAAGCCGGTGGGAGGCGTGTGGGTGCTGACCCCGGCTGGGGGCTCAGGGCGACGCTGCACCCGGGTTGGGAAATGAAAGAGGGAGGAGGAGTCAGCAGAGAAAGCGAGGTGTGGGCCCGAGGGGCCTGTGGGCATCTATGGAGGGGCCATGGGAGACCTGTGGACAGCAGGAAGCGCTCTGTGAGCCAGGAGAGAGGTCCCCGGCCACGGCCCCACCACGAGGTGTCAGTGACTTTATTGGGAAAGGCGCTGGAGCGCTGGCCAGGCCCGCGGCTCCACAGGACTGAACGCCCGGGTTCCACAGCGTTCCCCTCCGAGGGCACCTGACGGTTTCTTTCTCAGTGACCAAACCCGGGCCCCACAGTCCCCACCCTCCCACAGCTCCTTCCTGCCAGAGCCGGTCCTCGGCCCCCAGGGGAGGGGACGCAGTTCTGGGTCTTCTGTGCTTCTGTGGGCCCCGGGCTCCACGTGTCCACATCCCGGAGGACTCCTGGCTTGTCCCTGCCTCTGTCCAGGTGGGGGTCTGGGTCAGGCCCATCTCAGCATGAGAGGCCATCTGGGGGCTGGCTGCCCGCCCTGAGTCCTCACAGGCATTGGCGGGAGGAGCCTCAGGGACCCCACATCTTCAGGAAGCTCAGCTGGGCTGATGCCGCTGCAGGGTGGACGTGCCCGCAGGGTGGACGTGCCCGCAGGGTGGACGTGCCCTCGTGGTGATGTGGCCAGGGAGGGCCTGGTCCCTGGCTGAGGGTTGAGCTGCAGGGCCTGTGTCCGGCTGCCGGCAGCCCAGGAGAGGCAACCATGGCCGACAGGGTGCAGGGGCTCCTGGACCCCGAGTCCGCCTCGCTGCTCTCGGGCCTGGGGCCTCCAGCTCAGGAGCTCCCTCGGCTGCTACTCGCAGTGGCCTCGGGGGGTCGACTCCACCGGAGCCCTGCTCCCCACCCTGAGGTCCAGGGCTGCGTGTGCCTCAGACAGCAGGTATTAGCCCACACAGGCCACCAAGGGGGGACCATCCATGGACCAGCGCCACCTGCGGCCGGTCAGTAGTGAGCTCCGAACAGAGCGGCTGCCTTCTGGAGGATGGTCTTGTGGTTCGCGTACAGCGGGATGCGCCTGTCCACCACCTGCCAGCGGATGGACACCCCAGGGTCGCGGGCGTGCAGGTACTGGAAAGACAGACACGCCGTCAGTCCCTCCCAGCCAGCCAGGGGCACCAGCGCCCCACACCCGGCTGCAGGGGACTCTCCACCACCGCGTGGCCGCTCGCTTTGCAAAGTGGGAGTGAGAACACCTGCCACAGGTGGGCGGCCCCTGCCAAGCCTGGGGACTCTGCGTGAGGGGTCAGCACGCCGCCCACGGGCAGGAATCTCATCCTGTCAGGAAAGCCCCAGCTCTGGTCAGGAATATGCAGGACTAAGCCAAGTGCAGGGGACGGTGACCCCACAGGAGGGCTCTACGCCAGCCTCACCCCAGACACGATCCTCAAGCGTCACTGGGCTCCTGCCACCAAAAGACCCAGGTCCCAGGACTGGACTCTGTGGCCACCTGTCCAGCCCCTCAGCTGTGGCCATCTGCTGAGGCTCTCTGGCCTCCCTGTGCCCCTTGGTTCCTTTCAGACAAGACTCTGACCCCCGCAGCCTCCACTCTGGCCCTGGGCCTGGGCAGACCCTCGCCTGGAAGCCCTGGGGGCACTCCAGAGCACCCCCTGGCCGGGACCCCCCACACTGCAGGAGCCCAGCCTCGTACAGAATTCAGCCTCTTCAGCTCTACGTCATTGTGGTCCTGGAAGTGGACGCTGATGGCCACTGTCTCGATCCAGGCGTTGTCCGTGTTCCTCGGGTCGTCCACGTACCCTTTGTACACCTGGGGCACAGCAGAGAAGCTGGGTGAGTGGACCCCAGACACCCCAGCCCACCACTGTGGGGCTCAGATCTAGGGAGGGGGCCTCCCGGGACAGGCGCTGGGCACCGCCATCCGCCCTGAGCAACCCCCACCTGGCTTGCTGCCCGTGCTGCCTACTCAGGGCCGCCCCGCAGGGTTGCCCAGCACAGGTGTCCTCCTTGACCACCATCTTGGGGTTCACCGTTCCCCAGCCCACTCCCAGCCTCGAGCACTGAGGCCCCCAGACATCAGTCCCCTGCCTGAGCTGGGCCTCCAGAGGCCTGGGAAGAATTCAAGGCTGGAAAGTCAGGAAAACGCTCTGCTCAGAGAGAGGCCAGACCCCAGGGCTGCAGGCCGCAGCGCCCACCCATAACACATGTCCAGAGCAGGCAGCCAGAGGCAGAGGTGGTCGCAGTGGTCAGGGCTGGGCCCTGGGCGGCCAGCGAGAGGGCGTGGGGTTCTGTTTGGGGTGGTGGGATGTTGTGGAACTAGATGATGGTGATGCCCTCCCAGCACTGAGTGTGCTAAGTGCCAGGGCATTGCATAGTTAGTGTTCCAATAGTCACGTGGATGTCACTTCAGTGACAATAAATTCTTTTTAAATAGTAAAAAAAAAAAATAAATAAAGGAGGCAGGCCCCGCATCCCAGGCACTGTGTGCAAAGCCACACGGAGCTGCCAGTGTCACCTGCCCAGGAGCACTGCTCTAGCAAGTGGCAGACAGACGCGAGTCCAGAAAAAGCTCCCTGCTGAGAGGGTGAGTTCAGGGCAAATCTTCACGTAAAAGCAGGACCATCACGGTCACGGGGAAAGCGAGCCTTAGAGGCCACGGGCCTGCGTTTTCAGAAGTGTGCACACGTGTGCACACGGGGAGAGCCGGAGGGTGAAGAGGGACCAAGGCTTCTGAGGAATGGACACAGTGGCCTGCCATGGGGACGGGAGTGGACAGGTCCCCAGGGTCCCGTGTGCCTCTTCTGCACCCTTGAAACCACACGGAGCGCAGGGGCCAGCCTGCACACAGGCGGCGGGCAGCAGGGCCAGCCTGACCTCCACCCCCTGCTGCAGCAGGTCCTCAACGGCCGGCCAGGACTCTTGCCGGAGAATCTGCTTCAGCTTCTGCGGCAGCTTCTCCCCTGGCTCCCGGGACCCCTGGGAGGGAGGGAGGCGAAGACTGGTCAGCAGGACATCCAAGCAGGATGCCAGGCCCTGGGTCCCATCTCCACTGGCCACCTGCCCAGTATAGGCAGCCGGCCAGCCCCCCAGGAGCCAAAGCAGCCAAGTGCCTGGCGGTCTGGAGTCAGCTGTCTCCGGGATGAAGTGACACTGCCCAGAACCACCGTCCACGTCAGCACTGGAGCCCTGGTAGCCTGAGCAGGGCCGTGCTGGGCGGGGCCGCAACCTTTGGGAGCAGGGACAGGCCTTGGGATCCTGTGCGTGGGCCTCTGGCTCCCCGTGAGGGCAGCTGAATGCCATGGCCCCCCACATCCTGGCCACCAGAGCAGGGGCAGGCCAGCTGGTCCTTGGTATTCGCTAGAGTTCCCCAGTCCACCTCCCCCTGGGCTGCCACAGGCTGGGCTCTCGGCACTCAGAAAGCTCAGGTGCTGCCACTGGGCCCTGGCCCGGGAGTGTATGTCCCAGCCTGAAGACCTGGGCAGCACCGCTGCCCTGGGCATGCGCCTGGACATGCCCCCTGCAAACAGCTGCTGGGCGGGGGATACGATCAGGCTCAGAGAAACTCAATGATTTCTTGCTAAGGTGGATCACAGCCTCCCCAGGAAATGGGGCAGGGGGGTCCTGGAGGACAGGGCTGCGTCCCAGACACCATGTGCCTTGGCCAGGGCCTGAGCACGCTCAGTCCTCCCGGCAGGACGTGCCCCTCTGAGCCCTGCAATAACGAGGGACTTGGTGGGAGGGCCGGTGGCTGGTCTGGGAGAGAACTGGAGCACTTTGGAGCCACTTGGACAGGAAAGTCCTGGCCTCTGTTGGCCATCCCCACGAGGCCTCTGGGGTGCCCTCCAGCCTTCAGCCCTACAACCAAGAACCGCCCCTGAGCTGGGAGGCCATGTCCCTCCTGCCCCTGCGCAACACGGTCCTGTCTCTAGGGCGCAGCTCAGGTGCTAGATGGTGAGGGCCGATCTTGCCTGTGACAAGCCGTCTGCCCCATGCCTTGAGCACTGCAAGGGTCCCCAAGCCAGCAAGGGACCTGGGCCTGGGACACCATGGCACTCAGAGGCACAGCTGCAGAACGAGGCGGTGGGAGGCAGCCCTGCCGAGAGCACAGGGGCTTCGCCGCAGCCGGAGCCCAGCTGTCCCTGCTGGGGACTGCGGGAGACTGGTGCTCCGTCAGGGGGAGGATGGACAGTGACCAGTGACAAGACAGAAAGGCCACCGAGCAGCCGCTGCTGTGACCTGTCCAGCTTACCCCTGGCAAGGCCCAGAGCTCTGGGAGAGGACGCTTCACCACCAGCACCTCCAGCATCTTCTTTATGCTCTTCCTGCAGATGGCTCCATCCTGGTTCCTCCGCCACCTGCAAGGGAGCTGGCTGGCCCCTTGGACGTGGGCGGCACCCACCCTCCTGCTGCGGGGGCAGCCTTCAGGGCTGGGGCAGCGTGCGGCCCCCCTCCTGTCTTCTTTCCTAAGCACCAGGTCCCAGAGGAAGCCCTGAGCCTGTAGCTACTGAGGGAATGTCCTCCCCCAGCTCCGTAAGCAATAAGGAGAGCCCAGCCTTCTGAGAGCCTCTGCTGCCCAGCTCCCCAGCTCCACGACAGTCTGCAAATTCTGCCATGAGCCCAGTGCAGCCTGGGCCAGGGTCCTGGGGGTCCTCGAGGTCACAGCCAGCCTGCACCTGCCCTGGAAGGTGGCCCAGGACCGGGGTCACAAGCAGCGGGCAGTTACAGGAGTCTGAGGCTGTGAGCCATCCAGGGCGTGTGTCCTTGCAGCTGAGTGGGGGGTGGTCCTTCCAAGGTGTCGGCATCAGCCGGAGCCGGTCATGTGTGTTTCCATTGTCTTTTCCCCCAGTTTCTGTGACCTTTGCTCCTTGGTGGGGGTCCCTGACCGTGGTTTCTGCCTGCCTCCCAGGGGGCTCTCTAAACAGGGGACTCCCAGAGTGAAGGCAGCCTCTAGGGGAGAAGGGGTCAGCTTGGGCTTTTCCCAAGGAGGGTGGAGGCCTGGACGTTCCTGCCCCATTTCAGGTGTGTCCATGTTGAACCACAGACCCCTCCCACACGCCCCAAGGGCCTAGTCCCAAACGTCCTCCTGGCTCTGGAGCACTCAGGGAGTGTCGTGGCGGCCCCTCCCACGGGCACGTGGGTGACCACGTCCCGGGGGTGCTGATGTCTGGCCAGGCCTGGTACTCACCGGGTGACCACGGGGTGCAGCGCATGGTTGGGTCCAAAGCAGCTGAGGCTCCCGCGTCCACGCAGCCCTGTGCGGCCCATGGGGTTCCTGGGGTGGAGGGGGGCTCAGCCTGCCACCCCCTGCTGGGAGAGTCAGCCGAGGCAGGGGGCAACTGGGCAGCTTGTGGGGTGGGGGGGCAGCTTACAGTGGGTGGAGCCAGCAGGGACCACGTGCCAGCTCCTGCCCCCACCTGCCTGGCCCAGAGAGATCCCACAGGGACCTCCAAGGGGTGAGGCAGGGACTTCCCATTCACAGGTGGCCACTTGGCAAGGGGGGATCTGACCACAGAGAGTGGTCTCCACACTTGGAGCCAGTCTAGAGGGACAAAGGCCACGGACACGGCTGGTCCTAGGCTCTGAGCACAGGGCACCAACCTGGGCAGCAGAGGGCACCAGGCACTTCCCCATCTGGCCAGGGTCCCTCTGCTCTCACACACCAGTTCCTGTCCCAGGTAACTCCCCAGAAGGGCCACCTACCAGGAGGAACACTGGCACCAGAGCCGCCAAGCCATGACACAACCTCACATCTGCCACCCAGCCCAGCCCTTATCCCGCTCTCAAGCAGCCCACTGACCCCACCCCTGGCTAGCCTCCCCCCATACAGCCTGGCGCCGCAGCTGCTCACCTGGCTGAATTGCCCAGGGCCCAGCCCAGCCTCCTCTGAACAGGGTCACCCACAAGCTCCCAGCAGCGCCCCCTGCATCAGCCCCACCTCCCCCCACCAAGCCCTCAGCTGAGGTCCCCAAGCTTCCACCCACCCACTGCCTGGCCCCCAACGTGGCACTGGTGGAGCCCAAGGGGCTTTCAGGTCATGGGGGTGAGCCCTGGACAGGGCAGAGGTCAGGCCCTTCCCCCTTCCTCCCTCCCTGTCACCAGAGAGCAGCTGAACTCACACACACTGCCCCCTGGGCACTGCCTCGCACGGGCCCACAGCCGAGTGCCAGCCGGCATGGTTGGACCCTCTGGCACCACCAGCCCAAACCATCCTCCTCTTCCTATTTGGACGGCCTCAGGTGCTGTTCATGGCAAAAGCTGATGGACACAGGACCGCCCTCACTCCTAGGGAACCCCCCACTGCACCAAAGGCTCGGTGGAAGAAATTCATTTTAAAACTTATTAGAAGAAAATGGCAAGGGTATCTTTATGGTTGGTACAATTTGAATATGTTTCCTTCCCTCCAAACACAAGATTTTTTGTGGGATTTCAGGATTGGGACAAGGCAGGGCTGCTAAGAGGTGACAAGCGCACATCCCTCCTGGTGGTTGGTGGGTGAGGGCTGACCGGCTGTCTTGAGAGTGGCCTGGCCTCTCTTGCTCCCTGCCTCTGGCCACCGGGTGTCCTGCACTGCCTCAGGAAGAAGCCCCAACAGTGCGGGCCTTGACCTTGGGCCAGAACCCCAAGCCGAAATGAACCTCTTTTCTTTATAACCTTGCCTAGTCTGCTGTGTCCTATCACCACCAACACAAACAGACTGGAACACAACGTCACGGAGAGGACATCCCTGGGAAGGTGTATGAACTACACTCCACAGTGAGCTGTGAACCATGAGCCGTGAGCCTGGGGTGTGAGTCTCATTGCCCGTGCTCTCCACATGGCCCTGTGCACACCTGCCCGTTCCTGCTACCTCTGCTGGCCACCTACCTGCTCTCTCCTGTCACCTTCCCACAACAGCACCTGCTCCTTCCTGTGCCCACTTTGCCCCGTCTCTGTGGCCTGTCCCCAGAGTGGAACACTGGTGTGGAAGCCCTGGCTACATCTCTGTTTTGTGCCCTCCTGTCCCCTGCCACCTCCCCTGGCTCCCGGTGCAAACACCTGCCCTGTTCCAGAATGTCCCCCACGGGTCTTGCCCTGCCTCCTCCTGTCCAGGGCCCCTGCTCCCCTGCTGCCCACGTCCCAGAGACCTCATCCCTCCAGGTCTGCTCGTCCCTCGGGGTCTGCCCGCCCCTCCTGCCAGCCCCTTGCCAGGGCAGAAAGAGCTCCCCCGCCCCGGCCTGGCACATGGTGTGCACAGGCTACCAGGTACCTTCTGCTGGGCCCCCTCTGCTGCACAAGGGGGACGTGCCAACCTCGGACACTGGGAAAGGCACCCTCCTGCAGTGAGTCCTCAGCCACCACCCTGGGGCACAGCGCTATCTTCTCACATGTGACATTTGTCTTCCCCACTTTACCACCATAAATCCAAGTCCCCAAAGGTCACATCAGGGACCCAGGGACAAGCCGAGCTGGGCCCTCCCCATGGAACTTCCCCGGGAGGGCACCAAGGAGGTCTGCAGACTGCAGCTCAGGAGCTCTGAACGGCCGGGACTGTCTCCACCAGAAAAGTGCCCCATTTGCCAATGGCAGGCACTGCCCCAGACGCGGACCCCACGGGCGGCGGACTGAGGGCAGCGGGGCAGGGCACACTCACAGGGGGAGCCCGTCCCGCACTGCGTAGGCCCCGTGGAAGCTGCGGCGGTCCCTCGGTCCATCCAGGGTGTTGAAACTGATCCTGGACAGAGGCTCCGGGGCACTGGGAGCAAAACAAGGGCCCGCGTCCCCGTGAGAGGAGGGTGGGGGCAGAGGGCCTGGGCTCAGCCTCCACCTGTGCCCGCAGGGTGACCAGGCCCCGGGTGGCAGAGGGGCCTCTGGCCACAGGCCCTGCCCCATGCCAGGAGGCACTGGGGAGGGAGCAGAGAGGGAGCAGGGAGCCCTCCAGGCTGGCCCCGGGTGGATTCTTGGGGTCCTCTGTGGAGGTCCTCTAGGGAGGATGAGCAGGGGCCACTCACTCTCCCACAGGGTCCACGAGGGCTGTGTCCTTCCTCTCGGCCGTGTAAAAGGGAGGGTCATAGATGGCAAACTCCACCTGCACAGAACAGAGAGATTCTCGGGGTTTCGCCTGAAAGGAGTGGGCCCCAGGCACCAGGGCAGGCCTGGGGGCACCCACAGCAAGGCTCAGGGTGGGCCTGGGGGCACCCACAGCAAGGCCCAGGGTGGGCCTGGGGGCGTCCACAGCAAGGCCCAGGGTGGGCCTGGGGGCGTCCACAGCAAGGCCCAGGGTGGGCCTGGGGGCGCCCACAGCAAGGCCCAGGGTGGGCCTAGGATGTCCACAGCAAGGCCCAGGGTGGGCCTAGGGGCGCCCACAGCAAGGCCCAGGGTGGGCCTAGGGGCGTCCACAGCAAGGCCCAGGGTGGGCCTAGGGGCGCCCACAGCAAGAACCAGGGTGGGCCTAGGATGTCCACAGCAAGGCCCAGGGTGGGCCTAGGGGTGCCCACAGCAAGGCTCAGGGTGGGCCTAGGGGTGTCCACAGCAAGGCCGTGCCCAGGCAGGACCAATACCGCCCTGTGTGCCCAGCAGGTATGATGTGGGGGGCTGGGGAGGGTCCCAGGGGACAGCCGCACCGGGGACCCCAGCACTGGCACTGACATGCCAGCCCAGGAGGGGTCTTCCCAGGGTGAGGCGTGAGCCCAGCAGGACCCTGGGGGTGAGAGGGACTCCTCACAGCAGAATGGGGAGCAGGTAGCCTCCTGGAATGTTCCAGAAGGGCTGAGGGCCTGTGGGAGAGGGCAGGGGTGGCTCTCCCAGTGCCAGGATCACCTGTCTCTGTGCGTGTCTCTCTCTCATGCCTGACTCTGAGGAGGGGGAGCTGCTGCTCACTGGGGAGAGCGGGGTCTAGGGGAAGGGGAGGTGGGGGTCATGGGGACAGGACAGCTAGAGATGATGACAAGCTGCAGCAGCAGCCTGGGCCACCGGCTCTGTGAGGGACCAGAGCACCTGTCAGGCCCTCTGTGCCCCTACCTGACCTACGCGCCTCAGTCAGGGCCACCAGATGTCCAGAGCCCTGCGAGGCCGCCTGCTGGGAGCCCGACGAACACAGGAGGTGGCAGAGCAGGACCACCTCCCCTTCCAGAGCCTGGCCCTCCTGCCTTGGGCTCGCAGGAGGGCACTCACCTTCCAGGGCACCTTCTCGTTGGGCACAGGGAAGCGTGTGACGGGGGAGTTGGGGTAGAGGAGGTGCCGGGCATTCACGTGATAGCCATCTCCTGCTTCCTCTGCCTGCCTCCGGCTGCCCAGCTCAGCATCCGGCTCGTCGGTGGCCTTCTGGGATGCTGGGAACAGCACACAAGTCACAACAGAAAGCCCAGCTCAGGTTCAGACACCAGCGCCAGTGGGCTCCTCTCCTGGGCCCTGTGCTGGGAGGGCAGCCTGCTCATGACCACGTCCCCAGCTGACACCTGTCTCCCTGCAGCTGCACAGAGCTCTCAGTGGTGCGCTGACCTCACAGCCCGCTACAGAGGCCTGTCTGGTCAGTGGTGACCAACTCGCTCTCTGAGGGCCAGCCACATCCAAGGAAAACCACTCACTCATGTCCATTTTGGGGTCAGCTGCAAATTTAGGAAAATGATCTTGCTTTCTGTTACTTGGGCTGTGGGACGGTCTGACATCCAGATAACTTGCCCATTCTCACCCCAACTTCGTAGCCAGGTGTTAGGAAATGGTCAGAATCAGCTGGCCAGGCTGCCCTGTCAAGTCCTGAGGACAGGCTGGGCCTGGCTGCTTGTGTGGTGGACGGGCTCTGCTCCCCTGGGGGCTGGCTTTGCAGGGCTCAGAGGCCCTGCAGCTGCCCCTCCTCCTGACCGATCCCAGATCCAGATGTACCCAGGCTGGCGGAGACCAGCTGTGAGCGTGGCCACACACTCACACTCACCTAGAGTGGGCACACCTGCTTCTGAGCCAAAGCCACTGTCCTTCAGGGTCGCCACGATCCACTGCAAGGCTCTGGTCGTCTGGGCCATCTGGAAGGCATGCCCCAAGCAAGTCTGGTTGTCACCTGCTGCCACCAGCAGCACCCTCCTGCCCTCCACCCACCTTGGTGGTGAGGCTGGCGGCTGGCTCCTGGTCTCACTCCCCAGGCGACTCCAGCACCCGCCAAAGCCCCGTCCCCTCAGCAGACTGAGCCTCTTAGCACGTTGAGCAGTTTGCAAGTTAAAAGCCCAGGGAGGTGTGCCAGGGTCCCGCTCCCCAGGCAGCCAGCCAACCTCAGGTGTGCCAGGGCCTGGAGTCCCCGCTGCCCTGGGGGCTGGCTGCTGACCCCAGTGTCAGACCGCGCTGCTTGGCCAAGAGAGACAGTGACCACAGGCCTGGACACACAGAGGCAAGGGGACCCCCTGCAGCCCCCAGGGGGACAAATCGGAACTGCGGGGGTGGGGAGGGGGCACCATGAACAGAAGCAAGAAGCAGACCCAGCGCTGCCCCCCAGGAACTTCTGTAGAGACCGGGCACAGGGGTCGCTGGGCGCTGTCTGTGAAACAGCAGTGACTGCTCACCCAGATCGGGGGTCGGCGAGGCCAGGACCCCTGGGGAGGCCTGGGAGTCGGCAGCCTGGTCAGGGCTGGCCAAAGTTGGACACCCCAGCAGCATGGCAGCCTGAACCTGGAGCAGGGCTCCAGCTGGCTGGCCGGGCAGCTGTGGCTGCAGGTCTGTGTCAGAAGCTCCAGCCTGGGGCCTGGCCCGCGGACCTTGACCAGGGGTGGTGGAGGCTGAAGGACAGGAGGTGTCGGGGGACAACGTGGGCCATGACCATTTATGGTAAAGCAAGAACACACACAAAAGTCTGGTGACGTAAATGCCAGGCGCCAAGTTGCTGTGGACCCCAGAACCGCCCTGCTGAGACCCCTGGATCTCAGACAGAAACGAGGGAGCCGGGGCTCCCCACACAGCCCCCCTGCTCGTGCCCTGGGTGCCAGCACTGCCCAGGACGTCCCCTGCACTGCCTGGTCAGCAGGACCCTGGCACACCTCCCTCACCCACTCCACTCTCCCCACACCCCCAGGCCAGGACCTCTGCAGTCCCAGGGCACATGGGGAGCAAGCACCCATCTCGTGGGTTGAAGTGCCCCCAAACACTCATGTCCCCCCAGAACCCAGAGTACCATTTTGTGTAGAGATAATCTTTGCAGATGCAATTAGTTAAGCATCCTAACCCACTGTGGATCAGGGTGGACCCTGCGTCCAGTGACTGGTGTCCCTGTAAGAACAGGAGCCCAGCATCCACCAGGAATGAGGCCGTGTGAGGCAGGATGCGGGGACTAGAGCAAGGGGACACAAGCCAAGGGACGCCTGGGACCACCGGAAGCCAGAAGTGGCAGGGAGGACCCCCTCTGGAGTCTCCAGAGGGTTGGAGCCAAGTCCAAGCCGCCCAGCCTGGGCCGTCTGTCACAACAGCTCCGGGAAGCTCGCACCACTAGGCGGGAGCAGGCCAGCCTCCCCCCATGGCCCTGCGGCTCTTCCGCCCACCCTCCCGAGCACACCCTCCGAGGCCAGGACCCCACCCCAGCTAAGGGCACCTGTTCCTTCCCCATGCTGCTTCGCACCAGCCCGGTGGTCCCCACGGAAGCTCGCGGCCATCTCTGCACAGCCCCCAAGGCTCTCCCTCCCTCCCCAGCTCGGCCTCTGCGGGCTGGAAAGCAGCAGGGGCTGTCTTCAGGTCCTCCCCCTCAGGGAGCCTGCCGAGGCTGGAGCAGGGGACAAGCAGTCTGCTCCTGGGACCAGGTGGGAGCACCTCTCCCACAGGCAGGGCTCCACCGCAGAGTGTCCGGGTAGGAGGGGGCTCTTCTGGCTGAGCGACTTCCCTCTGCTCCCGATCTTCCCTACCTTGTTCCCAGTCTTGATGACCCACCTGTTCCTCCAGGGAGGCCAGTCTCTGCTCCATGGAGCTCGATCTCTTCACACGGTCCATGTCCAGCAGCGCCACCATGACGTCCACCCTGAAGGAAGACCAGGCTGAGCCACAGCCAGGCGCGGGGCCCTGGGACATGGGGGAGACCCGATGCCACTTGCTGGGCCCCACCAGAGCCAGCAGCCTGGGCTCTCGCTGACTGCTTGGCCATCGTCCTCTCCGGATTAGAGAGCATTTCTAACAGGTGTTTCTGCTGCAGATGAACTGCTAGAGCCCCGGAGGAGACGGCCTCTGCAGATGCATGGCCAGGGCCACAGGGCGTCTGAGAGCCAGCAGGGAGCTGGGCAGATGGGGCAGGTGAGAGGGTGCACACACCTGAGCTGGACACCCGGATCTGCCCCCGGCTGCCCCCCACTCTGAGCCCTGGGTCATGAGCAACTGGGAACAGCTGGGTTGGTTTTGGGGGGCAGGTAGTGCTGAGTTTGGGGATTGTTTGGTTTTGTCCTAACTTTGCTAAAACACAGGCCCCTCTGCCTACCTTGGCCTCTGTGTTCATAGTTAAAATTACCGTGGCCAGCCTCTCCCCAGAGCTCTGGCTGTGCCTGGGGTGGCTTCTCCTGCCTGTGGTGCCAGCAGCAAGCAATGTATTTTCTTAACATTTATTTTTTAGGTGTAGATGGACACTACACAATGCCTTTATTTTTATGTGGTGCTGAGGATGGGATCGAACCCAGGTCCCAGCCGTGCTAGGGGAGCCACAGTCCCAGCCCCAAGCAATGTATTTTTGTAATAAAATGAGTAGTCATTTCAACCAGGGACCAGTGTCACTGAGGGTGTGGCCCACTTCCAGGCATCTGGGAAGGGGAGGAGGCTCTCTGCCTCTGGGGTGAGTCTGCTTTGGCCCACACAGTTCTCTGCCTTAGGTGGGTGGCACCTTATCCCCTCCCCCCTTCACTTAATGAGAAACCTGGGGCCAGCCAGGAGCAGGGCTTGGCCACAGCGAGACACACTGAAAGCTGAGCCCTGAGGCCAGGTCTCCCTGCAACCTGCCGTGGGCAGTCAGGACCTGCTGGCTGCTACAGGGCTGAGGGGCTGGTGGCAGAAAGGTCTTTCACTGGTGTTGCACCCTGGAAAGAAGCAGGGAGGACGGAATTGGGAGAGGGTGACGGTGCAGTTGTGCAAGTGTCCCCAGGCTGGGCTCCAAGGCCCTGCAGAGCTGCAGCGAGGAGGTACGCCAACCGTCTCCTCCCTGGTCTCCTCCACGTTAGCCTCCTGGGGGGGCCTGCTCCTCCTCCAGCCCACCAGGTCTTCCTTCCAGCACCCAGCTGCCCTAGGACCCCCAGGGCCCGGGCAGCAAGGGTCCCGGTGATGTGAGCTGATGGCCAAAGCCCCTTCCACCTGCTGCGCTGGGTGAGCTGGGCACAGATGCCCCATCTGCTCGAGTCTGGGCACAGTGACACCCAGTTCTCCCTCCATGGCACGGGCCTGGGCCTGCCCAGGTGAGATGGCCCTTTGGTCCCTGTGGATGGCCGCCGGGCCTCCGTACTTGCTGCTGATGTCCTGGATCCTCTGCTCCGGCTGCTGCTGGAGCTGGCACTGCCGGTTCTGCAGGTAGTTCTCCTTCAGGTACATCTCCCAGGACAGGAGGGCGGCCTCCTCGTTCTTCTCCAGCTTGTTCTCTGTCGGGACAGGGCTGGGTCAGACAGAGGGGACTTGAGCCCACCTGAGGCCCGGCCCTGGGGCCCTGGGTCTGTCACCCCCTCTGCCCCCACTGCCCCCATGGGAGCCCAGCAGTCTGAGCGGTCAATGTGCCTGCTCAGTCTTCGGTCTTCCTAGGAACCCAAAAATTGGAGCTGCCACCCCCACCCTCAGGTCCCCACCTGTGCCCAGGGTGGCGGCACGTGGGCCCGGCAGGAGGGCACTCACTGAGCTGCTTGTGCCTCTTGGCTGGGATCTTCAGCACCACCCTCTTGACCAGGAGCTGCAGGTGGCTGAGGAGGATGAAGGGGGGCGGCGCAGGTGGCCGGCCGTGGTACTCCTCTATCAGGTCATGGCGCTGGAACTTCCAGATCTGGTCGGTGTGCTCCTGGACCTGCTGGAAGGTGTAGCTGGCAGGGAGGTGAGGGGGACGGGCAGGTCAGTATGTCTGCAGGAGACAGACGCAGGTGTCCTGTGGGTGCCCGTGGACAGCAGAAGCAGCCGGCACGGGGGGACAGCGTGGGACACCACACGCGGTGGACCAGCCTCCCGAGAGCCCAGTGAGAAAGCAGACAGGCCACGTGGCTCTCAGATGCCAAAAGCCTTCTCACGTGGCAGAAGGGGGGACAGACACCAATTGCCATTGACCTCTGGGAGGGATGATCTGTTGATCTGACACCAGCTGGTGTCACCCCGAGCTGTGTCCAGACACCACCATCTAGGTGTCTGGAGCTGGCCTGGCAGAGGATGTCCCAGACGGACGACTGGCCTTCCTGCCAGCCTGGCCTCTAGTTCTCAGTTCAAGTGGGGAGGACTCTCGATGTCAACACAGGGGGCCATCCCAGGACTCAGCCCTGAAAGGGGAGGTGGGCACCTGACGCACTAGGAGGGGAAGGACTTCAGAGGCCACAGTCCCTGGAGCATGCCTGCAGAGGTGGGCAGAGTGCCCAAAGGGTTTTCTGAATTTCGGGGAGTGCCACTGGCGGGCTGAGCTCTCCTTGGCGGGGCGGCTCACTGTCAGGCCAGCAGCGGATCAGGGAGCCCGAGACGCCCTGGGGTCCTGGGACCCGGCCCCGGCAGGCATCAGAGTTTTCATTCTTAGTATCTCCTGCTTTCCGAGTCCTCTTAAGCCATCTCGGCATTCCCTGTGCTCCAGGTTCAAGACCCGCAGAAGCCTAATGGGCCCCCACACCCTGGCTAGCAGCTGCTACACTAACCAGAGATCTACAGTAGAGGGAGGTCCTGGGGCCCAAGATGAGGGCGTCCACCCAGGCCGGCAGGACAGGTCACCTGTTTTGTATCTTTTGTTTCACCAACAAAATAGCAAAGTTCTAATAAGATGGAATGTTTCAAAACACCAAGTATTTTTTTTAACTCCTAGACATTTTCAAAGAGAAGCAAGAGCTACTGTATCAGCTTCCTATAGCTGCTGTAACAAGTCGCCACAAACTTGGTGTCTGGAAACAATCCCATAGTGCGTCACAGGGCTGTTCCTCCTGCAGGCTCCGGGGAAGGTCTGTCCCTTGCCGTTCCCATGGTCCAGAGGCCCCTGCGACCTGCTATGTTGGGACCACCCAGGTGACCCGGGGTCATCTCCCATCTCAGGACCCTGGACGTCATCCCGTCTGCGAAGGCCCCTCACCATCTCATGGCCACAGCTTCTTCAGGTTAGATGGGGACATCCTGGGGTGGGGGTCTATCCAAGCTGCTCCCTAGGGAGCTGCAGGTCACCTCTGCTCTGTGGGTCCCGGGGATGCTACCCACAAAGAGCTGACACCTGACTGTGGGTGACACACAAAACCACTGTGAAATGTGGAGACGTGTGGGGGTCAGCTTGACAGGTGGACAGGCAGTCCGCACAGGACCTCAGTGCCGGGAACGGGTCTCAAGGAAGCCTCAGCACACACCATCAGAGGGGTCAGCAGGGGCCGCAGGAGCACACTCAGGAGGTGAGGACACAGCAGGACACTCAGGGGACAAGGGGCAGCCCTGAGCAGCCAGTGGCCACCACATGTTCCCAGGTGGAGCTACGGACTTGAGGTGGCCTGGTCAGCATGGTCAGCACCCCAGGATGAGCAGGACACATGTGTGCTCTGGGTGCCCCAGGAGCAGAGACATGGACAGGCCAGCATGCTGTGACCAGGGAGCTGTGGCCATGCGTGTGGCCCTGGGATGTTAGAGGTGCCTCCGTGGGACAGGCATCCTGGGTGGCCCTCTGAGAGGACACAGACTAGTGTGGGGCCCAGGAGGCCCTGGCATGGCGCCCGCCCACTGGCACTCACTTGAACATGGCGATGAGGAGGTTGAGAAGCAGGATGTTGGTGAAGAGCAGGTAGAGGCACAGCAAGAGGACCGTCAGCCACTCGGGGAAGGCCGGCGCCTGCCCCGCTGCGTCACTCTCGGGGCACTTGGGCTTGTAGGGGTCTGTGCCATTGGGGCTGCACTGGTCCATGTTGAAGTTCACGCCTGGCATTGGGAGGGGGTGGGAAAGCCAGGGACAACACAGAGTCACAGGTGTGGCTGGAAGGCACCCAGCAGCCAGGCACCGCCAAGGGCCCCAAGGCCCGGCACGCGAACACCCAGTAAGCACAGCGCCAACTCAGGCCTGGACAAGTCCAATGAGTGCATCTATCCACATCCAAGCATCCTCCTCAGGGAGGACCCGTGAATGCCAAGGTTAGCCCAGAGCCAGAGATGCCCCAGGTTGGCATGCGTCAGGATCCAGCCCCCCACCTGGCACTTCTGAGGCCACAGTCATGGTGAGACACGGGTCCCGGCCCTGGGGGAATTCAATTTGGTTGAAAAGGATTTTAAAAGAAAAAAATTAACAACAGCATGAGAAAATCAAATACTTAGAAATAAATTTGACAGAAGGAGCGTAAGACTTGTACACTGAAACCGCAGACTCTTGTTGCAATAAACTAAAAATCTTAATAAGTGAAAAGACATCCTGTGTAACAATCCAAATTCCAGATTTTTTTTTTAGAGAAATGGATGAGCTGGTCCAAAAATTCGTGTGGACCCCACGGGTCCAGAGGCCAAAGCAATCTGTAAAAGGAGGAACAAAGCTGGGGTACTGGCCCCCCGATGTCAAAACTTACTACAAAGCTACAGTAAGCAGGACAGTGAGGGGCTGCTGAGGGACTGGCGTGCTGACCGACAGGGCAGAGCCGAGCATCCAGAAGTCAGCTCTGACCTTCAGTGGACAGGCTTTCAACAAGGATGCAGACAATTCAGTGAGAAAGGACCGTCCTGTGAGCAGGCAATCCCTGACCGCTGAACACCCACACGCTAAAGAACGGCACCACGCACCCACCAAGGTCATTTAAATGGTCAAAGGACTGAAGAAGGAGCCAAAGCTATAGAAGTCTTAGAAGAAAAGCAGACATAAAAATCTCCGTGGCCGTGGGTCAGGTTTCATAGACGGGACCACAAGCACAAATGGTTAAAAAAACAAGATTGTTCAGTTGATCTTCTCCAAATCAAAGATTTGCTTCAAAGAGAGTGTTTTCCTAAAGAAAGTGAAAGATGTGGTGACAGAATGCAAATCCTCTATGTGCTGAGGGTCTGGTGTCACAATTCTCACTTCTCAACAAGAGAAACACAATAAAGAACCGAGGGAAAGTGGGCGAAGGGCAGGACTAGCCGTTCTCCAAGGAGGGGTGCTCGGCACGGAGCCCAAGGGAAAGCCAGTCAAGACCTCCGAGGCTGCCGCGGCCACCCACTGTGCCGATGCTGAGCAAGGACAGTCCTGGGTGCTGGCGAGAGATGGGGGCCTGGCCCCCTCCGAGGAGTGCGGCCACAGGGACTCCCATCATGTTCACCAGGCTACGGGTGAGCAGCAACCGCGTAAAGCTTGCACAATACACTAGCGATAAAAGGAAGCGCCACACCGCGTCCCGCGGAGGGAGCCAGACGCCACCTTCAGACCCATTTCCCTATTTACAGAAACCTCCGGGAGACAGACGCAGGTCCACAGGAAGCAGACCACACTGCCCCACGCTGCAGGGAGGGGAGGGAGGCCACTGCCCACGGGGAGGGGCGTCTCTTGGGTGACGTGAAGGCTCTAAAAATGCTCAGAGCCGTTGGCACGGATGCGGTGCAGGTGGCTGGCACGTGGCTCACGCGTAAGGACGCTGTTTAAAAAGAGCAGCCACTCTACAGACGGGGGGGGGGGGGGGCTTCTGCCGGGGGGGGGGGGACAGAGCAGCAGGTGGCATTTAACACTGGGGCTGGGGCTGGTGCTGACGCCCACACCCTGGCTCCCTGGTGACACCCTTGTGCCTCTATTGGGCCACTGTGCTGCTGACGGAGCACGAGCCCCAGCCCTCCCCATCCCCTGAGCGTCCCTGTCCCTCCCGTGTCCTAGCCCAGCCGCGCCCAGCGCCTACCATCAATGTAGGCCGGGATCTGGCCGAAGATGGTGAGGTAGGAGTGGTAGACGACCCCTCGGAAGATCCAGTCCACCCGGCTCTCGTTGTGGATGAGGATGGCCTGCTTGGCCACCCCGAAGGACACCACCCACACGGCCAGCAGGAAGAGGAAGAAGAAGACGTCCTTCATCTGCAGAGACAGGCACCGGCTGCCGTGCGCCCGTGCTCCTCGGCCTGCCCGGGGAGCTTCCCGCAGTGCCCAGCCGTGGCGGAAGACCACCTCCACCACGCGTGGACACGAGAGGCCAGGTTCCTCGGACAGCAGCTCTGGGCCACCTGATCCCCATAGAGCTCACCAACCCCACGGGGGAGCCCCTGGGGCAAGGCGGTCAACAACCCCGACCCGGGGGGATGCACCGCAGGGGAACAGGGTGGGAGCCAATGCAGGGCGGGAACAGCAGCCGAGACGACCTGGAGGAGGGGGGCCGCAGGGGCAGAGATATGAGGGGTTTGGGAGCCCAGGGCGCAAGGCCAGGCCGGGCGGCCCCTCCCTTACCATCCGCTTCACGATGATTATCTTGGGCCCCAGAGTCTTGCTGACAGTAAAAATGTGCATCAGGCGGAGGCAGAACATGATGAAGGCCAGAGAGAGGATGATGCGTCCCGGGTACAGGGTGGACGGGATGAGCCTGGCAGCCGGGTAGGGCAGGGACACTGGCCTCAGGCTCTGCTCCCCAGACCACTGTGGCTCCAGAGCCTGCCCCTAGGCCTGTCTAGCACTGGGGACTCTGGGAGCCCCGAGGGCGAGGTCAAGACAGAGCCTCTGGGACTCTCTTCAGAAGGGTCCAGACGCCCAGCCTCAGCAGGGCAGCCAGGCGGGGACGTCCTGGGAAACAGGATGCTTGCCATGGAGAGAGGGTGCCGCAGCCTCCCAGACCAGGGCCACAGGGGCTAAGAGTGACCCAGCAGGAGGGGTGGGGAGCAGAGGGTCTGGGGAGGGGCACTCCTGGCTGCAGTTGGTGGCCCTGCCCGTGGGTGCCATGCAAGGTGGGCTCCTCCACACCCCCGAGGGCAGACAGAGCAGGACCATCACATCACCCAGGGACGATGGCAGTCTGGGGCTCAGAGCAGAGCCAAGCCCTGGGTGGAGGCTGAGCTGCTGGGGACGACAGCGCCACACAGGGAGGGCAGAGGGCCTGGGGCGGCTCACCGGCAGGTCAGCCCCGCTATGAAGAGCAGGATGGCAGCCACGTCCAGCTTGTTCCAGAAGTCGCTGAAGTACAAGGACGCCATCTTCCTCAGCCCGCACTCGTCGGGGTCGTAGAAGAGCTGCGGGAGAGGCCGAGAGGCCGTCACCACGTCACACGGGCACCTCACACTCCCGTCCTCAGTGGGCGGTGAGAGGGGCGGGGAGCGGGTCAGGGCAGAGCGGGCAGCATGGGCAGCGGGTTCTCTCCAGGCTCTGCTGCCAGCTGGAGCCCTCCCTCCAACCCGTGACCTGCCCGGCGAGACGCGTGCGTGCCTGTGCACACGGGTGTGCGTGTGTGCGTGTCGTGCCAGCAGCTCCCCGGGACCTGCTCTGGCAGCAACTGGGCCTGTTCTCTGAGGCAGCCCAGAGTGGAGGGGGCCAGGAGGGGGCCAGGAGGGGGCCTGGAGCCCCGTGGCTGCCCAGGAGGAGCCCCACCCCCGGTGGCAGATGTCCTCCCGGGGTCTGAGGAGAGCCCGTTCCTTGTCTGAGGCTCCCCCTGCCAGGCTGGGCTGGGGGAGCGTGGAGACCTCCGGCCCCTCGAGGAGAGATTCCGACTGCAGAAGGAGGCACTTGGAGAAACGGCTGGCCAAGCAGGACCCGGCACCCTCCCGACCTGCCCAGTCCAGCCCTGTGCTTCCTTCCTGGGGCTGGCTCCTCCCCAGGGACCCCCAACAGGCAGGATGTTAACCCAGGGTAAGCAGGACTTCTCTCCGAGGCCTGCAAGGTCAGCAACCAGAGGTCACGCTGACCAGAACCTTCTCCCATAGGGCCTAGCCCAGCCCATCGACCTGCTGCTGCTAGGTGCTGGCATCTTAGATCTGCAGTGGGGACTCTCCACGCTGACCGGGCCCAAAGGCACTCAGGAAGTCCTGGAAGGTGGCCCCAGAGCGCAGAGCTGGGCACGTGCTGCCAGGCAAGCTCGTCTTCATTACCTGGGCTTGGGCCACTCCAGGTGGCCCAACAGTGAGACGGGGCGAGGGGCAGGTGGGCTGTGCAGGGCCACTTGACCTCTGGAGGGGCCAAGGTCAGCCAAAAGGGTGCTCAACCAGTCTTTGTGACAGACACCCAGTAAAAGCCCTGGGCACTGAGGCCCCAGGGAGTGTCCCTGGTGACATTGTCCCATGAGGGTTGTCACACGTCCTTCCTGGGAGAATGAAGTGCTGCACAGCCGCACAGGGAGGACCCAGGAGGTCTGGGTGCAGGGCTGTCCTGGGGTGGCCCCCTGCCCTTCCCTCGGCGGGCTCGAATCTGCACTTAGGCTGGGAAGAACGCGAGGGTGGGGACTCAGCCAGCCCAGCTCCCCCAAGTGACGCAGCCTGAGTGGCCCAGGACCCCACACCCGGCCACGCCCTTCTCAGGGGTGAGAGCCAAACACCTACCCAAAGCCCCTCTGGTGCCAGGAAGGAGGATGTCTGTGGGGTGCCCCCTGCCAGGCCCCCCTGGGCGACCAGGGTGCCTCCTCTGCCCAGGGCCCCACTGGCTCCCAAGGGCCGGGTGAGGCTCCTCAGGGATGGGCCAAGGGTCCACTGTGAGAAAGCGGCCAGGCTGGCTCTCCCAGGCAGGGAGTGCCTGACGGACACCGTGTGCCACCGTGGGGAGGGGTCCGAGGACTCTGAGAGTGCAGGGCAGGCACACCTGCCGCGTCTCCTCGCACACCAGGGAGAAGAGCCAGAGGTAGATGAGGCACTCGCACCAGGAGGGCGTGGGCTGGAAGTCCACCATGAGCACGTAGGCCAGGAGGCAGAGGAAGGCAAAGTAGGACAGGATGTTCAGGTGGAAGATGACCACGGGCGCGTTGAAGAAGGCACGGGCGCGGGCCGGGCCGCCGAGGGCCTGCAGCCTCTTCTCCCTGTAGGTGCGGCAGCAGACACCAGAGGGCGCACGTGAGGGGCCGAGGGTGCCACAGTCCCACCCATTACCACCAGGGGGCCCCATTCCCCTGAGATGTGACCCAGGAGTGGAAGGTGTTGGGGGGTGTCACCTGGCATGAGAGGTCACACGGCGGTTCTGGAGAGACCCTCACAACCAGCCTTGGTCTTTCTGGCCCTCTGGACCCAGGACCCACCCCCTCAGCCACAGGAGAAGGGGTCGGACCCACAGCCCAACACAGTGAGGACCCAAAGGTCAACCCCTCCACATCTGCCCAGGGCCACGGACACGGTGACTGCCACTGGGGGGCAGTATGAGCCCAGCCTGATGTGGAGCCCACCTGCAGTCTCCTGGTGCTGGGTGGACACTCAACCTCAGGTGCCCCCATAAGGGGGGACCAGATGGCCACCCGGGCTGGGGCCCCAGCTCTGTCCCTGGGCTCCCACCCAGTTCCCAGTAAAACAGGCTGAGAGCGCAACTGGACGCCACTTGCTTCTGAGGAGGCCACAGGGGATGCTGGGCCAGGCCTGAACCTGCAGCCACCATCAGCCACCACTGTCCCCTCCTGGTTGGAGACTACTCCGCCCAAACAGGCTGTGCGCCCACAGCACAGGAAGGCTCTCCACCTCGGGGCACTGTGGCCCACCTGGACTGGCTCAGGTCGGTGCCAGGGGCCTTGATGTGCTCCACCCTCCCCATCCCCAGGAAGCTAAGGCTGTGGGTCGGGCTGGCCAGCACTCCACCTCTGGCAGGTGGGTGGCACTCGGGGGTGTCGGGGGCGTGGGGGTGGGGCCCGTGGGGGTGGGGCCCGTGGGGGTGGGGCCCGTGGGGGTGGGGG